GGCTTTCGGGTTTTCAGGGTTTAGAGGGTTTGGAGGATTTAGGCTTCAGGGTTTAGGTTTCAGGGTTATCTGGTCCTTACAGGATTTTTCAGGGCTATGTGGGCCTTACAGGGTTATCCTAAACCCTACCTGCAGCCGGAAAGACCTACCTTGTCCTTATGATGGTTTCTATATAGAGCTCCTTAAACAGGTAGGCCCTTTCGGTTACAGGTAAACCTTAAACCCTAAACCCTAAACCCCAAACTCTAAACCCCTGAACCCTCAACCCTAAACCTTAAACCCTAATGGTGGGCGCTCACCTGCTTTTTGTGCCGAGCTACCGAGCTAGGACTGGATTTCATCCCAGAGGCCCCAATCTTCCGTTTTCAAGGCCGAAACAATCCTAGATCTTGTGGGCTTTAGGGTTTAGGGTTTAGGGTTTAGGGTTCAGGGGTTTAGGGGTTTAGGGGTTTAGGGGTTTAGGGGTTTAGGGTTTCGGACTTAGGATGACTTGAACCCAAGACCTGAAACCAACCTTGACTGCTTGGCGGCCAAAAGCGTTTAGGATAACCGAAACCCCAAGAGCCGGAATTAAGTCCAGGGACTAGGATAACCCATATCCCTGCACCCTCACCCCTAACACAACTTTAGAGCCTATAGGGGTTGAGGTAGCCAAAATCCTGGGAGATAGGATTAGGGGAACCCTTGAAGACATAGACCCTCTCAACAAGGTCCCTTTTAAGAGAGCCAGACGCAGGCTTAAGAAGGGGTCCCCTTTAATTTAAGGGTCTCACTAATACTTCCTAGGAATAGGGGCTGAGATAGCCAAATTCCCCGAAATCCTAAACAGCAAGTTTCCGATCGCATCTTTGAGTTTTGCCAAGCCGCAGCCATGCACGGCGGTAGCTGAGCACCTGCATTCAGCTTTGGGGGTTTAGGGTTTAGGGCTCTGTTGAGAAAAGTGGGAGGTTTTCCGGCGGTTTTCAGGGTTTTGGTGTACTATGGGGGCTTGTATAGGCTATATGAGGGTTCTAAACCCTATAGACCCTGAACCCTAAACCCTAAACCGCTTACGGGCTTAGGGCTTAAAGGCGACTTTAGAGTTGGGCCTTTTGTGGTGCTACTGCTAGGGATCTGCTAGGGATCGGGGTTTGCGGGTTTTTGGTGCTTCAGGGTATGAGGTGCAGGGTGTTCGGGCCTTGAGTCGGGGTCTGGGCCCTGTAGGGTTTAGGAGTTTAGGGGTCTAGGGTCTAGGGTTTAGGGTTTAGGGTTTAGGGTTTGGGGTTTAGGGTTTAGTGGATCCTTGCTGCGGGTCTGGCCGCAATGACAATAATGGCGGTAAGGGCCTTAAGAACGGGATGTGGTGGGAGAGGGCTGGCTATTGATTGTCCTGTACCTCTTCTTACTCTATACCTGTAGCTCCGGACCCTACAAAGTAGTAGAGATCGCCAGGTAAACTCTAAAGTCTAAACTGCATGACGAGTGTTACCAGTTTCTTGGGAAACGGGTCCTGGCCTTCTGAATCATCCGGTCTCCAGTTGATAAAACTACGGGAACCTCCTCAGCGTAACCCGAAACACCCCTGAGCCCCAAAAGCCCTAATAGCCCTAAACCTCAAACCCTAAACCCTGAGCCCGGGAGTTGCCAGCGCGGGCTCGGCTCTGGCACATGGCCTCGGCACTGCCATGGCTTTCCTGTGGCTCCATGGAAGTTTAGGGTTTAGGGGTTTAGGGCTTAGGGTTGTTATAGGGTCATCCTTACCAACCGAAGCCGTCCGCCTCCGTCTTCCCAGAAATCCACGGTGTTCTCGGCGATAAACCTTAAATGACTGGCCGGTCTCGGGCCGGATTCGCAGCAGCCCTCAGCTACCGCTCTAGGCTTAATACCCGAAGACCTTTAGGGTTTAGAGTGGGTTTAGGGTGTAGGGGCTCCAGGTATATAGATCATACCTACAACGGGATGTAAAGTTCATAAACGAGACCTACTATGAGCTATGTGCAGTGTGAGGTATATGTGTTAACATTTACATCATCATCGCCTGATGTGAGATCCAGAAGGAATGAGAAGGCTTCTGGGCTTCTGTTCCCTAAACCCCAAACCCTAAAACCCATAAACCCACTGCCTTAAGATTTCAGATTAGACTCTTCAGCTCGACCTGAAGCTCCACCCCAACAACGCTACACCAACACCCAGAAACCGTAAGCCCTGAACCTGCAGACCTAAAGCAGAACCCCAGAGCACCTTCTCTTCGCATCATGGCCTCTTCAGCTAACAGCCTCAACCCGAACTTGAATCCCCCCCCCATCTGGAAACCCTGAACCCTAAACCCTAAAGTCCTAACCCTAAAATCTGAGCCTTCAGGCTCTAAACCCTGAGCACTAGACCCTACGCCCAGACGCCTAAGCCCTAGGCAATACAGGGTTTAGGGTCCCCAGAGAGCCCAATACCCCTTAATTCAGGAATATGCCTTAAACTATAGGGGCCTTAATATTGTGATTTAAAGTATATTCCTTAATTAAGCGGTACGGGGCCGGCACAGCCAACCTTCTCGCGCTTCTGCATGCTGTAGAGAGATCACGACCTCTCAACTCACAGACATGTCGAAGGTGTTCCTAAACCCTAGACCTCCACTTGGAGGTTCATGGGTAGTTATAAGTAGGGTAACTATAATTATTAGGGGACTTATAACCCCACTTATATCTACCCATGACCCTCCAAGCAGGTTGCGGGTTTAGGATATACCTGAATCAAAACCCCGAACCCGAAGCTTAGTCAAGCTTGTTGTTGCATTTTTCCGCTTTCCGCAGGCGGCATGCATTGGCTGAGGTGAGATCATGGCGATGTAGAAGTAGGGCTTGTATATGCACGATCACATCTCACTGCTCTACTACTCCATGCACGATATATCACATCCATACACATAGACATGTGTACGTATGTCATGTGTGTCTGACCGTCCGTCCGTCCGTCCGTCCGTCCGTCCGTCCGTCCGTCCGTCCGTCCGTATATTATATACGTATGTATGTAGGTAGGCATGTATGAGGGTATGTATGTATGTATGTATGTATGTACGTATGTATGTATGTATGTATGTATGTATGCCTGTGTGCATGTATCTGTGTATGCATGTCATGTATGTACATGTGTGTATATGTATGTACATATGTCGGTATATGCACATATAAATGAATATGAAAGAGTGTGTATGCGTCAGTACATGCATGTGTCTGCATGTATGTGTATATGTATGTACAGGCCGCTCGGTCAAGTGAGAAGAGTTTCGGGCTTAGGGCCTAGAGTTTCTGGGGTTAGGGCCAGCCGGAAAAGCATTCTTCGCCGAAACATGGAAAATGGTACTACAGGGGCCTCAATAATGACCAATACCATTCTAGTGTTCCTGATTCCAACTATAGTCTTATATGCCGCAAAAGACTGTTCTAATTATCAAGGCCCCTACATTAACTGAGATCGCCCGATCCTATGGACAGGCGATCTCAAGTTACACCGGGGGAATCTTACCCTGACGCGCGCAGCCTAGCTGATGCGCCGGCCCCGGAAGACAGAAATTTAAAAAAGGTCTGAGTTGAACACTTACCCATACCAGTTTATTCGGCTTGCTGATTATATATATATATATATATATTTCTATACATATATATATATACACACACACATACACATACATGTATATACTTATGCGTGTATATAACTATGTATACACCATAGCATACGCCAAAACCCCGTTCCAATAGCTCTGGCGTCCGAGCGGGCTTGTGTTCAGGATGCTGGTGTCCTCCAATGTTCTTGTATTCTCGACGTCAACACACGGCCAAATTACAGGCAGCTGCGTGTCTTCTGCCGAATTAATTGGAAGAGCTTCTTGTCACGCAGCTGCACCTCTGTGCAATTCCGCAAGCAAAGCCTCTGGCGCACTCTTCTCCACAGCGAAATCAAGAGCAGTCCTGTTTCCTGGTCAAACACCACAAATGTAAGACCCCCGAGTTTCCTAATGCAACCCCGTTCAAGGACCTTGATATTAGGATCCGTGTTTTCATCCCGATTGAAGGAAAACAAATTGGTTTAGGGGTCTGCACTATGAGCTAATTCGACAATCAATGATTCATTCTACACCAAATGTCTGCTGCTTCTGCAACTGCCACTCTGACGCTGTGCTTCTTGCGACTCCCAACTGTAAACTCACCTAGCTGTAATGACTTCCTCTCCATCTTTAGCGGACTTGAGTACTATGGGGCCTTAGTATGTAGAATAGGGTTTGTGAGTTTATGATGAGAAACTCTAAGGAATAGTCTTGGCAATTGCTCAAGCCTCCATATTGCGTGATGTTTTGGTTCTAGAGCCTAGATATGTGCCCTATAGATACGATTTTGCTATAACAGATATGAGATCCTTGGGTACTTTGGACACTCTATACGCCATAAACCCTAAACCTTAGACCCTAATGCACCCCCAAAATCAAAGTGTTGAAGGCAGTCAGCCTTCGAGAGTTGCGGAGGTCCACACGAGCCCCATTTTTCAAGAGCACCTGAGCCGCAGAGAAATAACCAGCGAGGATGCTGAGCATCAAGGGTGTAGCACCTGTGTGGGGGGGGGGGGGGGGGGGTGGGGTCAGTCTGGGATGTGTGCTTATGGTGTAGAGTTTTACGGCTTCGGGTTGAGGGTTTGGGATTTATGGTTTGGGGTTCAGCGCCTGTGTGGTGATAGGAGAGGGCACTGTAAGTGGAAGGTCCCTTCAGCCGATGCTTCACTGTGCCTTGGTGGCCGAGTTCATAAGGTGTTGGGCCTTCGGGCCGTCGGGCTTCGAGCTGATTTTTTCCTCAGGGGGGCTAAAGTTACATTATATTCCCCAAAAAGGAAAAGTTTACTAGTTCTGCTGCGAAGGTGCCAATCATGTACAGAAGTCGGTATCCGAGCTTTTTGGGGTAGAACTGCTCATTCACGTCACACCCGGCTTCGATCATCATGGCCTAGTTTCCCCAGTAGCCCCTCAATAACCGAAAAAATACACCCAATAGTAAGGCTATCCTTTTTCCTACTATTCGGTTTTACTAAGGGAACCCAAACATAAGGGCAACAGGGTACTTCTGGGGAACCTGGTGGCTATGTGAGCGGGATTCCCGCCGTTGATGACCAAGGCAGTGTGAAGCAAGTACTGGGCTCGGGCTGCAGCCGGTGTGGCAAAAATCTCCTTGGCGACTTGGCTGGCACCCGCATTGCAGGCAAACTCAAGGACACTGATTGACAGGTCGCTCTCCGCGCATGGATCTGCCCGGGCCTCAAGCAGCAGGCGGGCTCCCTCCAAGTTGTCAGCGAGGCTGGAGAAAAACAATGGTGGGTTGCCACGGCCCTCCTTCTTCTTTGGATCAGCCCGGGCACGGAGCAGCATCTGAAGAGCACCATTGTTGCCAAAAGCTGCGCAGATGGACACGACCGGCGTCCTCTTCGCAAAATAGAGGCGACGGATACTCTTGGACACGGTGGTGTTGGGATCAGCATGCCTCGAAAGCAAAAGCACCCTCTTGCAATCGAGGAATATCGACTAGACACCCTGCAAATGAAAGTATGTTCCTTCATTAAGGAATGGGAGAATATATATATATATGATGCAAATGTATGTATGTATGTATGTATGTATGTATGTATGTATGAGTGTATGAGTGTATGAATGAATGTATGAATTAATGTATGAATGTATGAATGAATGAATGAATGAATGAATGAATGAATGAAAGAAAGAAAGAAAGAAAGAAAGAAAGAAAGAAAGAAAGAAAGAAAGAAAGAATGAATGAATGAATGAATGAATGTATGTATGTATGTATGTATGTATGTATGTATGTGTGTGTGTATATATATATATAGGTGGTTAGATATAAAATCTTTGCCATAATACCTTAATGTTATACCCTGTACAGCTTAAGGTACATGTATAGTCTCCATTGCAGTTCCTTTTTGGGGTTTACCGTACTATAGGATCCCAAATGTACAAGTGAATAAACCAACAAAAAAAGGAACTACAATGGATTCTGCACCTAACTTTCAATCCGATGCCCTAAATCCAAAACCCTAAACCCTAAATCCTAAACCTTAAACGATAAACCCTGAATCCAAAACCCTAACCCTATATCCGAAAATCCTAAACCCTAAACCCTACATTAATTTGATTCAGCCATGTTGGACTCTCTGAGGCGCCTGGAGAGCAAAGCTTCGATGAGCTCCGGACTCTCCCCCATGGCAGCATAGCCTCTCTTCTTCAAGCGGTTTAGGGTTTAGGGTATCTAAGATAGACCGAATGTATAAAGCCAAAAAGTTTAAAGTTCTCTCGTTGGCTAACTCAGTAGCAGAGGGGTGACCATCCATCTGCGTCTCGCTCTCTGACCTTCCCCAAGCCCATTTGCTTCAGGGGTTGAAGATTTAGAATTCATGGTTCCGGGTTTCGGTGTAGAGTTCAGGGTTGAGGCTCATGGTTTAGGGCCTACCCGTCTGCTATAGGGTTTAGGGCTCTGGGGCTCTAAGGTTCTAGGGTTTAGGCTTTAAGGTTTAGGGCTCTAGGGTTCTAGGGTTTAGGATTCGAGGGTTTAGGGTTTAGGGCTCTAGTGTTCTAGGGTTTAGGGGTCTAGGGATCTAGGTTTTGGGGTTTTGGGATTCAGCGACCTCCGTAAAGCCCGTCCGGCAAAGGAAGTCTGCCACAAGGTCATCGGTCCTTGGTCAACCCAGGATCGAAGGACAAAAAACGCTAAACCCATGGTTTAAGGTTCAGGGTTCAGGACTCAGGGTCAAGGGTTTAGGGTTCGGGGTTTCCTGTTGAAGAGAATAGGAAACCCAGACTAAAAAAATACAATAGCATCCCTATGATTGGCCAAATGTCTTCTGGAAGGGTAGCAACCCTTCCAAGGGCGTCGTAGCACAATTTCGGAAGCGCACGGGCTGCTGCTGGAGGTAGAAGCGGTAGTTCTGCAAATCACCTTCGCCCTAAACCCTAAACCCTAAACCCTGGAGCTTCTCTGGCCTCCGGCCTCACGAATCGAAGGCTCAGGCGAATACCAAGGCAAAAAGCCCTCAAACCCTAAAAGCCTAAAACCCTAAACCCCAAGCGTCCCACAACTACTAGTAGGGGACTCTGAACCAAATCCCACAAACCCTGACCCTAAACCCTAAACCCCAATCGTCCCACAACTAGTAGGGGACGCTGAACCAAATCCCACCTTGGCTGAGGTCTTTGTGCAGCGTGTGCTGGAGCATGACCTTCATGTTCTGCACCACCACCTGATCCCAACAACAACTACATATCTGTATGTATGTATGTATGTA